CCTCCATGTCCAGCAGTAACAGCAGCTTGTAAAGGCCGTGTTAAGCCCTGCCCCCGCTCGCGGTTAGGCTCCACCCCTAAATGGCCATAGCTCCGCCCCCTTCTTCCTCCCGTGTGGCCAGTTAAGCTTGCTGGTCTCTGTGTGAGCTGTGCGACACCCCAGCTGCCATGGGGCACAGCTCACACGTCCCCCATTAGCCCTCAGACCAGGGTAATGGCACCCCCCTACCTTGTGACACCCGGGGCGGACCGCTCCCTCCGTCCCCCCCCTTAGTCCGCCACTGGTTTTAGGAATAGTGATCATTATAGTTGTAGATTTACATATAAAATGCTAGGGTGCCAGCAGTAGACATTTACTACTGCATGTAGCTATCACTCTTGGTTTTTGTAGTACTACCATGTCCAGAAACCAATTAGAAGTCAACTTGTTGCCCATTTCATGATTAGCGCCAAGATGAAAGCACTTTAGCCCCTAGAGTCAAGTTTCATAATTGGAACAAGAACTTCTATTTACTTAAATGTGTGGTTGGTTTTACCCAGTAGTGTGGCATTATGCCAGATTGTGTGGATATTCACCCATTTGTTGAATCTAACTTATGCATCTGACCATGTACCACTTCTTTTGTACGGAATATTACACATGCTGAAACATTTGCAAGAGAGCTTGTACATTTCATGTTCATTATTGTTTAACTTCATGTATTATTGTATATTTACAGCTACAACAAATTACACAACTCTTAATACATCAAGTAAAGTACATCAAAAATCTAAATGATAAAGTTAGTCTGGACAGCCATATAGCTTTCAATATAGGGAATGAGACAGGTGAACTAAGTTATAAATAAGGTTTAAATAATTGGTGATGCACTTGCCTTATAATTAAAGCATGGTAAACTATAATTAAAGCAGGGTAAATTTATTAAAACACTACTTGGTTTTTTTTCTTTTTGGAAGACAAAATGGCACAAGACACTATATAGGACAAAGACAAAATGTAGGGGTGTCTCTCACCTTTCTCATAATTTCAGTGTAAATCTTGTAAAGAACTAGGTCTAATGTAATTATTGAGGAAAAATCTCAGGCACTGTGATATGTTTAAGCAGCTTTAATGGATACCGCAACATTTTGACCTGTACCCAGGTCTTTGTCAAGCTTGACAAAGACCTGGGTACAGGTTGAAACATTGAGGTATCCATTAAAGCTGCTTAAACGTATCACAGTGAGTGCCCGAGATTTTTCTTTGACACATGTTCTATGCACTGTGCTGACCCATACTCAGCTAGCACACTGTGTTATTAATTATTGATTGCAACCTTCTTTTCTCTTTTGGTAATGTAATTATTAAAACCTTATTATTTAAACAAATGATGGTTTCCCCTGTTTAGAATGTGTACTTCATAAGTATCAAACTTATACATATAGTGATATTTAAAGCATCCTTTTAATCACTAGAAACACTACAGCCTAATGTAGTGGTTCTGGTGTCTATAGCACGTCCCTGCAGCCTTAGCACTGTAAATACTGCCTTTTTACTTTGCTGGATAGGTGTGTGTGTGTTAGTCAAGTACACAGGGCTCAAAATTTTCATTTATCAATTAGCAATTGACAAATGAGAAGTCTGTCCTGGCAAGAGCACCATGAACCCACAAGACCCTGCAGTGCGGTAAAACTGTTAGGCCTATCAAATAGCCAAATGAGCCCTGTGTAACAAGGGGACAGGTAGGGCAGAGGCAGAGGCCATCTTTATTGCTTCCAAGACAATCCCTATTTTATATTGTATTCTCAATTATTTATATATTTTAAAGGGACACTCCAGGCACCCAGACCACTTCTGCCCATTGGAGTGGTCTGGGTGCCAACTCCCACTATCCTTAACCCTGCAACTGTAAATATTGCAGTTTTCATAAACTGCAATAATTACATTGCAGGGTTAACTCCTGCAATGCCATGATGTCATCTCTTCTGCTGGAAGGGGGCCAGTGGAAATTGCAGTCTCATCCACTAACCCCAGTACCCTGTTGGGAATCTGCTGTGGAGAGGAGGGATCGCCTACCACCTCCTTCTGGCATTCCAGCGGGGTTGGTTGGGGATCTGGCCCGGCCGTCCAGCATCCCTGTAGGTCTGGTACAGAGACCGCGGTCCCATCTGCACCATTCGGGTCAGGGGTGCTGTCCCCCTGTAGTTGAGGTGAGGGACTAGTTGTCTCCTATCCTAGTATATCCGGCTGTTGTTGGAAGGTCAGGCCAGTTGCCTCCACTCCCCAGGACGCTTTCTGCTGCAGGCTAGAGGGACCGACCATCTCCTCCCCCTGTAACTCCGGCTGCCGCTGGGGAGAGAGATCGGTTGTCTCTTCTCCCTTTAACCCATACTGCCGCTGGGGAGTCAGAACGACTGTCTTGACTCCCGGTAACGCTGCCTGGTGCTGAACTGCTTCTCTTAGGTTATGATATTCCTGCTCCAGTTCCCATTCTATAGCGACCAGACAGGTGATATCTGATCACAGTCCTGCAGTACTGGGAAGTTCGAGCGCGTCCATACGGTATTCCCGAATGTCCCAATATCTAGACTCCTTCGTGCTGCCGAAATCACTCCCCTCCTCCATAGTAGAACAGGGCCATCATAGTCATAACCCTCTGGACCATCACATCCATCCAGGGGCACAGAGTACCATTGTAGCGCCCGGTATGCCTCATCCAGCCACAGTTCCTTCTTGATCAGCCGCTGGAATTCTATGATCCACTCTTCCCAGGGCGGATCCTTCAGTAAAGGCAACCTCGGCACTGTTTGCCTCTGTCTGCGCAGATCTAAACTGAGAAGGCTCTCTTCCCCCTTGAGCTTGAGACTGCTCCAGTGCCTCGTGCCAGAGCTCTTGTCGTACCACCTTTTTCCATACCAGTTAATCCTCGGCTGAAACAGGGCCATACTCCTGTGCCGGTGCGCCTTGTAGTCTCCAGTGGAACTCCTCCTCTGATGGGGATGCTGCCTGGGGGCTAGCTTGCTCCAACTCCTGAGTTCCTCTGCAACCGGGGACGCTGCACGAATGCTAGCATTGCCCTCAATTATAAATCCAACAATACTGGTGTCTCCAGGATGGTTCTATACTCACTAGGAAGCCACCCCGCCGCTGCCACCAATGTGACGGACTGACTGGCACCCCGACCAAGTGCCTCCATCAACGATGCTCCTAGTGCTCACCGAGGACTCCAAGCACTCCTCTAGACACCATCAGCACCATAGACACCACAAACCGCCGCAGCTTTGTTGTGGTCTCGCCATCCTCCACCAACCCTGGATCCAAGACCAGGATCCAGCTTCCAGTGGGAAGACCTATCCTACTCCAGAGAGTATAGAAGGCTGCTCTTCCAAGAGCAAGTGATTATAAGCCAGAGGAGTATAGTGATCTAGTAATCCCCAGAGTGTGAATATAGCTCTCCAATTCCCCAAACATGCGTCTAGACTTCATGAAGGGTAAAACGAATCTCTGTTTAATGGTAGCCACAATTGGCCTGTTATGACAGTCCCCATGCAAGGGGCGCTCCCCCCTGGACCTGAGCGTAGACCACAGTAAAAATAAATACATAATCAAATTGGCTCTCAGGTCTAGGACACTCCCATACAAAATCAGATAATCCCTCCTCTGTGCCTGGTAGATAATTGGATCAGGAACTGTACTAATCTAATCCAATTATCTCCAAGCACAGAAAAAAAACATACATTTTTACAAACCCCCAAAATACCTTAAAACACACAAAACCCCTACAATTGCTACATCCCCTGATCTGGGTAACCAACATATCCAAAAATCACCCAGATCAATTCAGGGGTTCAGGAATTTCCAGGAAGTGTTATTTTTGACCGACCGTGCATGGTCCTCTGCCCAAAACAGTTCCAGGAATTCAGGGCTAACTGTCGGTCTCTCTGTCTTGAGTACAAAAGTACATAACTCACATGAACAGCCCTTTTTTTTTTCCCTCACATATAATTTTATTTGTTTCAAGAAATGGTGCACATACAAACCATGGCATAACATTAGTACAGGATAAACATTGCAGGTTGTACATACAGGTCAACATTGGTACAAGCCTCTCTTTACTACACATCCGGTATGCCTTCATTAGTAACATGGAACATAACATTTTATTTGGTGCATACCTATTAGTGACTGGTCAGCCGCGTTAACATCTGTGCGGTCTATAACTAACATCGTGTAGAACAGTAGATCTGGATTCTGTGGCTTGTAGTTCGCGTTTGGTAGCACCCTGTTGGGGTAAGAGGTTCCCTAATCTGGATTTAGAATGATTAGTTGCTATTTGAACAGGGAAACTGGGTAACATTGGGTTAATGCTCTGCTATGTCGTGCAGTGTCACTGCCTCTGTGCTCTTTGCTATTCAGTATGGAGGAGCCCTTGCCCCCCTAATGCATACTTAGGTCAGTGGTCTTGTCGTCAGCGTGATAGGTGAGCCAACTATGCCACCTTGTCTTGTGTTCCTGCCCCAGCCCCCTCCCTCTCAGTGACATCCGCTCATATAGGCATATATTGTCTAACCTCTGTGAGATCTCCTTTGAGGTCGGGAGTGTAATGCTTTTCCAGTGGGAGGCTATAATGAAAGGAGCCTTTAAAAGTGCATTGGGCAAGGTAAATTGCATGGCCCATAGTCCAGAGGCAAGAGGCTGGACAGCAGGCCCCTCCAAGAACCTGTGATGAGGTTTAGTTCGTCACACCCTGCATGTGCATATGTAGCAGTGATGTCTATTTTTTTTTCCATGATCAGCGTCTACAATTGGCCCTTACAATCTGCTGAAGACTTACATCTATCTTGTGTCCGTACTCTCACCTCTGATGCTCGCCTTCAAGATTTCTCGAGGGCTGCACTGTTCCTGTGGAACTCGCTTCCCTCCTCCGTTAGATGCTCACCCAGTCTCCACTCCTTCAAAAATCATTAAAAACCCACTTCTTCATAAAAGCGTATCAATTAAACTGTTATTAGCTGCCGACTGATTCCTCTCTTGCAACTGTCATTAGTCTAATACTATCCTTACCTTTTGTGTCACTTTACCCCACTCCCTCTAGCATGTAAGCTCATTGAGCAGGGTCCTCATGCCCTCTGTTCCTGTGTGTACAACTTGTCTGGTTACAACTACATGTCTGTTCGTCCACCCATTGTAAAGCGCTGCGGAATTTGATGGCGTTAGTAACCCCTGATGTATGATCTCCCAATCATTGTGACAATATTAATCACTTTTATCCTTCGTGGCAAACACATATTTTGTATTGGGTCAATTTAGCTATGTTATAGGAAACAAAAAATAAATATGTTGCTGTTTTTATTGGCTCACCAGCCCTAATGTTAAACTGTATTTATACTTGCAATTTGAGGTCTGATAACTAGGGAACATATCATACAGTATACATTAGTTAGTGTCTTCACAAAAGAGACTAAAGTTCAGAGCAAACTACATTCTCTTTTATTCAGCAAGGTCAATATTGTAACAGTGTTGCAGGAAAATAGAAACATTATTCCACATAACAAGAAAATGGATTGAAAAAAAAGTACATAATTTACAGCTTTTATATTGTCTTCTTGGTATGCCTACGTACCAGTGATGTCATCCGTAGTGTACAGAATTTCACCATTTTAGAAAGAACTGTCCCATTTCCTCTTGTGACACTAGCTTGACAATGTTCAACCATTTTGTAACCTGGTGATTTGGTGTTACTGTAGGTGATGGTCTCTTCATCCATAGTTCCTCATGGGGTTTGCTGTTGTAGCAGTCAGGCAGGACTAGGTTCTTGCTTAAGTTGTCTATGATAAACTTATAATTGTATATATAAAATTATAGCTTTATATGCATACATATGTATTTTTTTTTTTTCATTTTTGAATTTGTATTACATTTTTTTTTCTCATGTTACAAAGAAATATAACATACAAAATATATAATAATGTCACATTTTACGATATAAATCCATATTGTCTCATTCAGTAATCATTTTTTTTATATATATATATATATATATATAATTTTTTTTAGACCGGTGGTATTCCCTTACATTAAGTGAATATTCCTTACTTATGTATATCCTAAATCTTATTTAGTTGAATTTTAAGCCCTCCTGCCTGGTCTGCATATTAGTCTAATTTAATATTGATTTTGATTTTAAACCAAATTGTATGCATTATCAATTAACATGGTCTTAATATGTGATACTCATTCAGCTTTAATCAACTATGCTTATATAAATAAACATAAAGAACATAACACAATAAAAATTAATATTATATTAATGTACATGTGTGTAACGGACACCTCCGTCAATCGATACTCCTAGCGCTGCTCAAGGACCATCAGCACCGCACCCGACACCATAGGCACCGCAGACTCCACGAACCGTGGTAGCTTGGTTGGGATCTTACCGTCTCCTTCCCACCCTGGGACTCCAACCTCTGGATTCAGGAGCATGTGGGAAGGGGCTCTCCTCCAAGAGAGTATAGCTGGGGCTCTCCTCCAAGAGAGTATAGCTGGGGCTCTCCTCCAAGAGAGTATAGTTGAAGAGAGCTCTTACAAGAGCTAGCAGTGATATAGCTAGTATAGCTGTTCCCTACAACAAGAGACAAAGCTACAAGTTGAGGGTAAGAAGATCTGGTTTATTGAGTGCAAGGGGCATTTATTTTATAAAGTTTTCCCCACAAGGTTACCACCCATGTGGACCTTGTTGGGCACCGAAAAAATACAAACTTAACAACCAATCATTTACAGACACACAGTTAAACACTCCCATTCATTACTGTAAAATTCCTCCCCTCTGCTTTTGAGATAATTGAGTTAATTGCTGTATCAACTAAATTATGTCCAAGAGAAAAAATTTACTTTTTACACAATTTTTATAACTTCAAAACTATACATGCAATTACAATAAAAGTTCTGCATACTTAGGGGACAAACATATCCAAAAATCAGACAAATTGGTCCAGTGGTTCAGGAGATAGCTGGAAGTCCCATTTTGACCGACCGACCGCACGCACGCACATTTTCATGCCCAAAACAGTTCCAGAGATTTGAGTTGTGCGGCCGGTCCATTCACCATAGTTCGAATACTGTTAAAATGCACGTTGAACGCGGTTGACTGAATTAAAATGGCCGCCGCCATGTGTTCGTTTGTCGAACGGCGGCCACTTCGACTACTTTGGCATTTCGGCTGTATCTGAAGTGCCAGTTAAAAAGTGCAGATCCTTTCCCGTAGGATTTAAAGGGCCAGATACAGTATTTTAGAATCCAATCTGCACGAAATGAGTTTTTAAAACGCACTACACCCCAGGGTCACAGTTACAAGGCAAAAGGCACTTTATCACAATGTTTTTTTTTTAATATATAATATAATATATATTCCACTAAAGTCCTTAAACGCAGACTAACCCAAATGTTTAAGTGCTGGGTGCACAATGAGCCATAGCTCAATAATATAATATAGTAGAGGACAGCTTGCACTCATGGTCTTTGAAGATAAAGAATATTCCTTTATTAGAAGTTATTCCATAAAATAATCAACGTTTCAGCCCTCGTTAGGATCCTCAGGATCAACCACCAATATATAACAAACATAAATAACTGACTTATATAGCCCATAAGATTAGAAAAGATTTACTCGCCACCGGTGATTCGTGTTGGACTCTCAGCGTCCATCCGGACAATGTGCGCATGCGTGTGCGTGTCCTACCCAGCTGTAATGTAATGGCGTGCAAACATGTTGCCATAGAAACAAGGATATAAACGGTGTGATATAAACACCATGATATAAGGTGCATCTAAAGATCTCAGTCCCCAGGCATATGAAATATGGTGTGTATTATTATAAAACAATTTAGGTTGAATATACCCATATAGCCCAAATGTGAAAAGTATGTGCAATGTATAAAGTGAAACTGGTGCCTAGAACTTGACGAAAAGTCAAGTAAGAACAATAAATTGCATGGAATAAAAATGCTGAACTAGTGCGGATATATAATTTAAAGTGCATATATTGCTAAAGTGGTCTGGGTGCCTACAGTGTCCATTTTAACTCCTTGAGGTAAGAGTGCACCCGGGGGTCTCCTGGCATCATATAAATGTCAGATTAAGTGGTTTTGGTGCCTGGAGTGTTCCTTTAAATGGGAGATAATTCTATGATAATGATGTGCCAACACTTTCAAATGTGGAGTAATGTGCACAGATAGCAATCAGGCAATCACTGTGATCATCTTACGCACAGGTAACAAAATTATGGAGGTGAGGTAACTTAATGTGCATAAATTAAAAGACCGTACAATGTAACTAAAAATAATTCATTTATTTTTATTTGAAAAGCACAAGTTCCCAAACTGCAGTTTCACTTTTAAGGAGTTAATGTAAACTCTACACCCTCCCCCTCCAAATCCATAACAGACCAGTGGGAATAAAACTTGAAAAGTTGTCACCTTGTGTTTCTTTGGGGGGGGGGTGGGGGGGGAGGAAAGGGGACATTGCTTCTTGTGATTTCACAGTTTTATCCATAAACTGTTACAGTGCAAGCTCTCTCCTGGGCAAGTGTGGATGACTCATGTGATTTGCAAGAAAGTGAGTCAACATAACTGCATCCTTACACTGGAATCGAAACTGAAAGTCTCGAAACGAGAAATAGTGCTGATGAATATTTTAGGTGTGCTGTTATCACTCTGATACTACACATTCAAGTAACTAGTTAACTATATATCTGCTCTCATGGAAATGACTCACACCTCCTGACACACAGTAGTAAAAAGGGGTGTGTCAGGAGCAATTTCAGAGCAATATGAAAACTCAAATTCAGGCTTAACAAAGTTTGGAATTCTCCATATTAAATCCAAACATGAACAGGTTCAAATTTGCCTTTTTGTAAATGCTTAACTAATTTATGACCCACATATATGTGTGCATAAGGGTATTTTGCTTCACAATAATAAATACCATAAAACAGGGCTAAATGTTTTTTGTTTTTGATTTTTCTTTCCTGGGTGGTGGGTCCCTAACTGCCTGTTTATCAGGTTGGCTGGTGTTGGTATGTTCAAGGTAGAGTTTATTGAGATAATCATAAAAACAATGGACAATTTCTAATTCAGACCTGCTGTTTAATTCAAGTATCCTTTATCAAATAATGTAGACATTAGTCAGTATGAGGTTATTCAAAGTGTGAATTGACGGCGATTCAAAGTGACTTTCACAGTTTAAGCAAAAATACATGACATGCAGGTTTATTCACTAAAGTGTGAATTCAGAAGTTTGCAATGACCTCCAAACTGGCATGGAACAAGGAGACCTAACTGAAGCTATTTTCCTTGACTGTGCCAAGGCCTTTGACACAGCAGACCACGATATTCTATTGCAAAAAACGTAAAATCTCAGGTGTTGGGAAAAATCTGCTAGCCTAGTTTCAATCATGTGTATTGGACCAATCACAATATGTGTCCATTTCTGACAGTGACTCACTCCCTTTCCCAGTCACGTGTGGTGTTCCCCAAGGCTCCATACTCAGCCCCCTACTATTCACATTATTCATATATAACCTGCCTAATGTCTGTAACGCCTCAACTGTACACATGTACGCAGATAACACCGTAATCTATGCTAGCAAACCAAATCTACCGCAGTTTGAGACTGTACTCCAATATCCGTTCACAGAGGTAAAAAAGTGGATCTCAAAAATAAACTTTTCCTAAACACTGACAAACCTGTCACAATGATCTGTGGAACAGTATCTACATTACAAAATTCCTATGCATTAGAACAAAATCAAAACACACTGACCACAGTCTGTTCTTTCAAATACTTGGGTATGTTGCTAGACCCCAAACTATCTTTTGGCCAACACATTAAAAAAACTGCACCATAATCTTACTACATTGTATAACTCATTCTGCCGCTCTGTGCAACAGTGTAATAAAATGACCCACCATTGTGACAAGTTAAAAGAAGAACTTAACCGGCTATCACTGGAATCCAGACACCCTTCATTTTTCCAGCCTCCTGTTTAAGAGCTTTTTAGAGAGGCTCCCACCTACCTGTCACGGGAGTCTTACCCCAACATGTAGGAAGGAGGAATATCACAAAAGGTGGATCCGAAAGACGTATTACCGAGCCTTAGAATGGCCGGACTTAACTTATTATTATAGCGAGAATCAAGGTCAAGAATAGATCAAGGTCAGGGATACAAAAATACACTGTCAGCCTGATCAGGATACCAGAAATCACCAGTCAAATACGAAGCCATGGTCAAACACAGGAAATCACAAGGGAATCTCTAGAAGCACTAAACGAGGATCCAACAAGAATCCACGATAGGGCAAAGAATAGGGGCCAAAGCAAGCCTTAAGTAGGCTTATCAGTGTACTGATTGGTCCATGTCATCATTGCGACTCAAAATAGACTAGAATTGCAATGATGACGTGGTCACTTTAAGAACAGGCATGATGTCACACCTACACTCTATATAAGGATGTCATGCCGCGCGGATTGGCTGGACTGCGCGGCAGAAGGAAGTGAGGGCACTAGAGTATGCTGTGCGGTCGGACGAGCTGGCAGGAGGAGGGCTGCGCGGTTCGAGGGAGGTGAGTACCCTTCAGATTGCCGCACGGCCGTTTGGCAGAAGGAGGGCTGCGTGGCTCAAGGGAGATAAGTAAGTACATGCCATACCACCTAGCCAGAATGCTCTTCCCGGTTGTTCCCATCTCCCATAACCTCTGACCCAGTACCTGCACTTTATTTAGTATACCACAAGACAAAAAAAAGCGTCTCGATTTCTCATTTTCCTACAGAGCACAGCATTTATAACATCCAGGATACTTTCAAATCTACCCCCAGCCTAAATCTTTTAAGTGATCCCTCTTTACATATCTCAAAACAGAATGTATCTGTAATTATGGTTGATTATATTTCTTACCTGTTCTGTGTTAAAGTTATATATGTGTTGTGTAGCAATATTATTTTGTATTTTTAGTATTATATATTGTATCGATGCAGTGTTAGTGGAACCAGGACATACTTGAAAATTGGAAATCTCAATGTATCCTTCCTGGTAAAATATTTTATGAATAAATATCACAATGTAGGCCATATTAGCCAAATTAGAAAAACAATCTTTCTGTTTCTAGTTTGGCTCTTTTTGAAATTCACTTTGAATTGTGAGCAGTTCTTAAAATTTTATCATAAGGATTATGCATTGAAGAGATGTCTGTGACTGTTAACATTGTCAATTAAGCGTGCCACAAACGGTCCAGGCCAGTATCCCCATTGGGATAGAATTGGAGAGTGCCTAAATCCTGGATTGTTGGTGCCTTGAACTTACAGTGCGTATTGAACTGAAGTGGAACTGGGAATATAAATTGCTTTTCAGACAAGTGGTTTCAAAACCAGTCCTCAAGGCACGCCTACCAGTCCAGGATTTAAGGATTAAGCAGTTCTGTCGAGACTTTTTTTTGTTATTTTTATTTTTTTTATATGCCTTAGACACAAATGGACAAATCCTGGACAGGTACGCGTGCCTTGAGAACTGGTTTGGAAACCACGGCTTTAGACTATTCTGTTAGGTGAAACTTTCATAGCTCTCTTAAAAAACATTCAATCTATACACTGTGCTAGCAGTATTGTTAGAAAATGTATAGATTGGGAGAAAATTTTATTAAAAATAGTTATTTATTTTCTACCAACCTGTCTTTCAGGTCCCCTATAGACAATCTATGTCAAGAAATTGATAGCAGAAGACTCCTCCCACAGAAAGTCCCCCCCTACTCTCCACCCATAGCAACCAGAGCACGTGCCCTGTGGTTGCTATGGTAACTTGCTTGCAATGCTAGCTAGGGAGTATAGGAATTGAGTGATTTGACATCACTCCATTCAGACGTTGGCAACAAAGCCAGGGTGTTGGCGCCATGAAGTAGACTTGCCCTGCTTAGGGAAGTTCCACAAGCAGGGTAAATCAACAAAGAACTAAGGAGGCATGTGGGTGTAAACCTACTTCTGTAAGGAGCTTGCTGCACATACGCATTATGTTCCTCCTGCCGGCTGATGTCCGTGAAGGAGCGGAGGTGGAGCCTGACCTAGCGCAGAGGAACATTGATGCTGGAATTAGGTAACACCACCGAGGGAGGGGCATTGCAGGTTACTATAGTGCTAGGGAAACAACTTTGTATTCCTAGCACTATAGTTTCCCTTTAATATTTACAGCAACCCTCTAATTTGTCTGTTAACCTTTTTGCAGTGGAGGATGCTGGTTGATTCCTAGGTGGGACTGACCCTGTTCTGGTGGCAAAGGCCGCACAAATGTGCCAGAAAGATGCAGTTTGTCATGTTGTATACATCCATTGCTTTGAATGAATGCATAACATGAGCGCGCAAGAGAGGCATGAAGCGGTCTCTCTAACCATAACAGGCAAAGTCCACTTACTCATTACCAGCCTGTGGGAGCTGGTGAGGGGAATTTAATATATTTTTTTCCCTTAGTGGCAGGAAGGAAAATTCCCACGCTCAAGGTCCTGTTTTTGTGTCCTCCTGAACCTTGCTTAATTTTATATTCTAAATAGTTCCATATGGAGAGCCTTTCGTTTTACCTCTAACTGTGCTCATCCAAAGTACCTCAACCATCCCACTTGCCATGGGATCAAGGCTCAAAGAATATTTCATTAACTGGTCTCTAAAGTAAATAAATTGTATATTGTTTCTATGTTAAATATATTTTGTGAATAAGAAAGTGTGGAATATTCCATTGGTTTGTATTGTGATTGCAACACTAAGCCCTCACCCCATATTCACACCCACAGTGATATTGAGCTGGAACAAGTTTTACAGTCTGTACAGTCCTCTTAACAGTTATGAAAATTCTATATGGAGCTTTGAAACAAAACAAAAAATGTTTTACCTTTGCTTTTCAAGGCTACTATTGCATTTCTACATGTTCGAAAAAATACATCTTCTAAACTTAAGTCAGTTGGAGGGGGTTCTTATTGCTTGACCAATTACTGTGTCATTGTCCACATACACATTTGTTTAAGTTTGGTAATGATATTCCATTAAAGAATGCACCAGCTTCCACTCTCAGCCTGTTATCGACCACCCGGTATAATACGCCTCATACTGCGGCAACAATGAGGAAGGCACCAGGGGACCAATGTGGAAAACTTGTTTAACCCCTGTAGGTAAAAGGATGCGAGACATTACGGCCTTTGTAACCACTTCAGTGAGCTGGAGTTCTTATGGGCTAGGAGTGTTACTTTGGAACTGTATGCTAATGTTGCCTCATGATGATGCACTACTGTGGCAAGAATTATTTAATTTTTTTTTTCTTTTATGAAGGTCACACATTACAAGCAATATCCTCCAAATACAAGCAAAGTATATTCTTATTTTGAGTGTCGGGAAAGGAAGACTGAAGACACCAAAGTAAGGAAGGTGAAATATGAAGAAACTGTCTTTTACGGATTGCAGTACATTCTGAAGAAATATTTGAAAGGTATTTTGGCTTTTCTGTTTGAAAATAAAATATTCGCTAAAAAGCATTGAAAGCAAGTACTTGAGTTGTTTAACAGATTTAAAAAAATAATAATAATAAAATAAATGGGTTCTGCCCTGTCAAAATTCATACTCATGATGTGCTACTGCAAGTGTTGCCAAAATAATATGCAACAGATATAGTACATGTGTATGTTTTAGTTCTATTGCTTTATTTTAGTTGAATTCGTCTTATTCATTTGTGCACATGTAGGAACTATATGTGCTGGTATTCAGGAGGACCGAAGGAGCATCATGGGTAAATTATACTTACCTGATGATGTGCAAACATTAGCTCCTGGAGCATCATCTGCCCAGAGCCAACATCAGTGTTGTATAAGAGAAATGTTTTAAGTCTACGGGGGCTCTCAAGATACCTTAGGAGCCTCAATAGATATTGTCTCATGATGAATGAGACAATACCTTATTCCCACAGTCCTGGATAACCGCGGAAAGAGTTGATTGACTGAACTTAATGGCCGTCACTCTGCCTTTTGTCAAGTTTTGTCAACTTGAGATTTTACCATAAGGCAAAATAGTCTTTACCTTGTCTTATTGCTTTTTACTGTGCTCGGAGTTTCAATGAAATTCCAATGCAGTATTTGAGAATTTCATTAAGATTGAAATTGATGCTTTGCACAATACCCATTTCTCAAGTGTAAAATTAGCTCAGTGGGCCATCCTTTAAAATAGTCTTTAAAGGCTGTGGACATAGCTATCATTGTGAGATAGTTGCATACATGTGCCAATAAGATGGAGTTATCACTATACTTACATTTAGGTAAAATATGCATATAAAGAAAATGACAATCTACATTTGAACATAAATGCCTACACTTGATTTAATGCATCAAAATAAAATACATTTGTAAAGTGACTTCTGTACAATGTGTTCATACACCTTTTAAATGCCATTGGATTTTGATTTCTGATTAGAATTTCTCTGTGCCTAGTCCCAAATGTAATGTTTGCAAACCTTTTTTATTTCCTTTGGCACCACAACTAATCAGTCCTTTAGGCTGTAATTGTCTTGAACTTGCTTACCTCTCCCTCCTTGCATATTTGCTTTGTTGTTGATTTTTGTGTTAATGTTTTGTATATTATTTTTATTTTTTTTCTCCCATGCAGTATAATTGTAGCTTCCTTCTTTGCTAGCCCCAATTCTGTGGATGTCTGTTTTATCAATCTGTTAAAAAGCCTGAATACCTGAAATGCGTTTATTGAAATGTTTATATTTCTCCTACTTTTTGCATCCTTAAGCAGTGC